GATACAAGGCACAAGCACCCCTGAAGGATTTCGGCAAAGATCATCAAAGAATTCAACTAACCAAAGAGAAACTTACAAACAATGACATTTGGATCATTGATTGTGATACATATGATGCTATAGATAGATAGATTCTGATTGATAGATAGATAAAAATAATCATAAGGTTTCAAAATTATGTAAATGTTCAGATGTAGGTATTTATTTGTATATGTCATTATTAAATAGTGTGCACATGATTTAGTTTGTTGTTGTTGTTATCGTTGTTGTTGTTGTTGTCGTTGTTGTTGTTGTTGTCGTTGTTGTTGTTGTTGTTGTTGTTGTTGTTGTTGTTGTTGTTCCTTTGATCTTTTGTTGTCTTACAAAGTACGCATGAACTCAATGAACTTTTATCAGTACACAGTTCTACCGTAAACAGACATCTCTAGATCGGTTCTGCTCAAGTCTCAAGATCAAAAGTACTTATTTGAAAAAAAAAATGTTTCTTGTTGAAAACTATTTAACTCGCCAGGGCCGGATATAAGTTTGTGGAGGCTTAGAGCAGCTTTTTTATTGGAGGCCCAAACATTTTTTCGAAAGCTTGAATAAAGATATACTTATAAAGGAAAAAACTTACATCTAAAAGCATGCTATAGTTTAGAGGACAGAAAACGAGTTCTTGTAAGTCTCACTTTCCTTTTAAAAAATATTTAATATGCCTATTTTAGTTAGAAAGATGTATATTTTTGAGCTTGTGGAGGGTAAGGCCCTGGGTAAACGCACTGTCTTAACTCTTTCTCTCCGTAATTATTTACCACATTCTGGTGGAATCAACGTTGGTATCGTCTGTTAGGAGAGAAAGAGTTAAATGCTTAGCTGTTTTTACTTATTCCAAGAAGGCTACAAGCGTACATTTCTTAATCACGACATTTTTTCCAACCGTAAAAAATGTGGAAAAAAATTTGGAAAGTTTGTGACTCGTCGAAATTTGGATGTTTGTTTTATTTTTCTCTTTTGTGGAGGCCCTTTTCTAGCCACGCCTGCACTCCCTTCCATCCGGCCCGGCGGCTCGCTCATGAGAAAAGTAAACAAACATTTTTATATATAGCCTATATATATATATATATATATATATATATATATATAAATATGTTCTTGTTTAATATATGAACTACACCAATAACATTTTGCAATCAAACTGAATTTCCATTAGATATAATTAATTATTAATCTCAGCTTATTTCATTTTAAAATTTTGTTTTACTGAGTGAGTTTGTAGTTTGTTTTCCTGGGCATGTCTAAGTGAGTTTGTAGTTTGTATTCCAGGCAATTTCCAGGGCATGTCTAAGTGAGTTTGTAGTTTGTATTCCAGGCGATTTTCACGGCATGTCTAAGTGAGTTTGTAGTTTGTATTCCAGGCAATTTACAGGGCATGTCTAAGTGAGTTTGTAGTCAGGGTTATAATAAAGGGCGTTTCAAAATCCTACATTCGTACTGAGATCATTTTGAAGAAATAATTGGGAATAGATCTACTTATCTTTTTAAAGGTCAGCAAATGACAAACTCAATCTCAAGATACGTAATGAGATTATCACTTGTGTCTCTGTGAAATGTTAGGTCTCAAGACTTGACCTTGTCCCCTTTCGACTGGTCGTGTGACTAAAGAGTCCAATCTTTGATACACACGGTTAGGCAGTCACCAGACGGTGGAGCGTCTGAATAGTGGTTACCTCACTAATTACAAAAAATCATTAGTACAATTCATACAATGTAGAAACATTCCCTACAGTATGTTAAGGTATTGTGAAAATGTATACATGAGGTCTCATTATATGAAAATAAATGGACTGGAGAAAATGTTTTATTCAAGAACAGCTCTGAAGCTAGAAGTACATAACTTAATGTCCTCTCTATCTTTAAGAGCTGTAGACACTTTGTACACAACCTGAATAGAAGATTGGAAATGAAAAGTTCATATAACTTAATAGTTAGTCATAACATACGAATATACAACACAACCTTATAGACTAAATAGAATATTTCAAGGGAAAAAAACTATTTAGGAGCCAAAAGATTTCATTAAAATGCCCAGGATACATGGCTCAGCCACATAAGTCTTCAGAGATGAAATCTGGTACAACTACAATTATAATAAACAACTGAATTTAGATTGTAAACTTAATCTTTTTTTGGGGGGAGGGGGGGAGAAAACTCTGTCTAGACAAAAGAATCGATGTTGGGGCTATTATTATCTATTGATATACTTGATAGCTTTTGTCAGTTTCATGTCCAAAGGAACATAACCCTGGTTAAACTTTTAGTTGTACTTTGTTATCATGCCTACCTCCCTTGTAAATTCCAATTTCATGTCTTGTTCACTGTTTTTCTGCCTGTCTCTAGAACTGAGTCTTCAAACGTTATGCGCGCGCACAGTGCAGGTGTGTAATAGAAACAAAAAATCTTTAAGGTTTGGTGTTGTTGGTTTTCTCTTAATTTCAGAAGTAGAACTAGGAAGTAGAGCTAGTTGGAAGTAGAGCTAGTTAGAAGTAGAACTATTTGGATGTAGAACTAGTTGGAAGTAGAACTAGTTGGATGTAGAACTAGTGGGAAGTAGTACTAGTTGGATGTAGAACTAGTGGGAAGTAGAACTAGTTGGAAGTAGAACTAGTGGGAAGTAGAACTAGTTGGATGTAGAACTAGTGGGAAGTAGAACTAGTGGGATGGAAGTAGAACTAGTTGGAAGTAGAACTAGTGGGAAGTAGAACTAGTTGGATGTAGAACTAGTGGGAAGTAGAACTAGTGGGAAGTAGAACTAGTTGGAAGTAGAACTAGTGGGAAGTAGAACTAGTTGGATGTAGAACTAGTTGGATGTAGAACTAGTTGGATGTAGAACTAGTGAGAAGTAGAACTAGTTGGATGTCCAGTAGTGGGAAGTAGAACTAGTTGGAAGTAGAACTAGTTGGATGTAGAACTAGTGAGAAGTAGAACTAGTTGGAAGTAGAACTAGTTGGAAGTAGAACTAGTGGGAAGTAGAACTAGTTGGATGTAGAACTAGTTGGAAGTAGAACTAGTGAGAAGTAGAACTAGTTGAAAGTAGAACTAGTTAGAAGTAGAACTATTTGGAAGTAGAACTAGTTGGAAGTAGAACTAGTGGGAAGTAGAACTGGCTGGCTGCCTGGTCGTGCGGTTTGCACGCTGGACTGTCGCTCGGATTTATCGACGGTCCCGGGTTCAAACCCCTGCCCGCACCCTACCTCCGTCGTCCTGCTGGAGGTTTGGACTAGGAAGTAAACTATCTTCAACTCTGAAGGAACATCCGAAACATGTAAAACAAACAAACAAACAGAACTAGATGGATGTAGAACTAGTATGAAGTAGAACTAGTTGGAAGTAAAACTAGTTGTAAGTAGAACTAGTGAGAAGCAGAACTAGTTGGAAGTAGAACTAGTTGGATGTAGAACTAGTTGGAAGTAGAACTAGTTGGATGTGGAACTAGTTGGAAGTAGAACTAGTTGGATGTAGAACTAGTTGGAAGTAGAACTAGTTGGATGTAGAACTAGTTGGATGTAGAACTAGTTGGAAGTAGAACTAGTGGGATGTAGAACTAGTTGGATATAGAACTAGTTGGATGTAGAACTAGTTGGATGTAGAACTAGTGGGAAGTAGAACTAGTGGGAAGTAGAACTAGTCGGATGTAGAACTAGTGGGAAGTAGTACTAGTTGGATGTAGAACTAGTGGGAAGTAGTATTAGTTGGATGTAGAACTAGTTGGAAGTAGAACTAGTTGGAAGTAGAACTAGTGGGATGTAGAACTAGTTGGATGTAGAACTAGTGGGAAGTAGAACTAGTTGGATGTAAAACTAGTTGTAAGTAGAACTAGTTAAATGTAGAACTAGTGAGAAGTAGAACTAGTTGGAAGTAGAACTAGTTGGAAGTAGAACTAGTTGAAAGTAAAACTAGTTGGAAGTAGAACTAGTGGGAAGTAGAACTAGTTGGAAGTAAAACTAGTTGGAAGTAGAACTAGTGAGAAGTAGAACTAGTTGGAAGTAGAACTAGTGGGATGTAGAACTAGTGGGATGCAGAACTAGTTGGATGTAGAACTAGTTGGATGTAGAACTAGTTGGATGTAGAACTAGTGAGATGTAGAACTAGTGGGATGTAGAACTAGTGGGATGTAGAACTAGTGGGATGTAGAACTAGTTGGATGTAGAACTAGTTGGAAGTAGAACTAGTTGGAAGTAGAAGTAGTGGGATGTAGAACATGTTGGAAGTAGAACTAGTGGGATGTAGAACTAGTTGGATGTAGAACTAGTGGGATGTAGAACTAGTTGGATGTAGAACTAGTGGGATGTAGAACTAGTTGGATGTTCTCAAAATATGACAAACGGAAGAGACAAAAAAAAGGGGAAAGTAAAACTGTGAACAAGTTACTCTATGATCATTTGGAGAGACATGGAGTTGGATGTACTTTGGATGATCTTTGTATAGAGTATAGAAGGATGGGGGGAGGTTGGATATAGTAGCGAAAACAAGACAGTTTTTATAGGAGTCTTCTAAGTGCTGTGTGAGGGTGGAACTCTTCCTTGTTGGGAATCACAAAGATGTAAATTGAGAAATGTGTTACAATTTATGTATCTCAGGCTATGGCAGTATATTTTAAACAAAAGGCAGCTAATGAGAGGCTATAACTAAAAACATAATTTAAACTAGGAATTGGTCCTTTTTTAGAAAGCCTAAGAAGGTCAGTGCAGGGGAACACTTCGCTTTGGTAACATTTTTTACAGCGCTATTAGCAGTTTCAATACAATCTACAGATATGTTTCATTTTATTAGTAATTTTATTTAATAAGAGAGAGAGAGAGAGAGAGAGTTAGAGATAGACAGAGTAAAAGTAAATAGTTTGAAAAAAATCCTCCATTGAGCTCCACTTCACTAGCAGCTAGCTACAGTGTCCAAATAAGTAAGAAGTACATGACCAGCAATAGTTGCTTATTTTCAAAAAATACAATTAAACTCTTCAAATAGACGATTACAAATGCTATTTATTTCTTTGCATGTTAGTTTATTAAATACTGAACTACTTTAAACATGTGATAGAAGTTTATGTCAAGACAAGAAATTCAAGGGGAGTACAGAATCAAACATTAAACATGTTCCAAATAATATCATTGAAGTACAACATTAAACATAGATTTTCGATAACATTATACCTAGCTAGTCAATAAGATTATACCTAGCTAGCCAATACATTCATGCAAGTTACATTTGTCTAGCAGCGCTAGCTATAAAGACACAGCCTTTTCAAAAGTGTCGATGAGGATATGTTCCGCTTCTATAAACTCTCAACTAGTCCGCTAGCAACCCAATCCAGCACCTGTGGCCTTCTCGTGTGGTTCAGACATTAACTGAGGAGAAGACCTGTTGGCGACCTGACACATCTCTTCCAACTGGGTAGTAATTTATATTTGCATAAGCAGTAGAATACGTACATATAATGTAAACACAACGAACGAATGTAGGGACAGAAATATATATATATATCTATTAGTGTTCTGATATCTATCTCGCCGTCTGATGCTGTTTATCCTCCCCCCTAACCCCTCCTTATCTAGCCTCCACTGCCTAGCAGTCTAAGTCTTGAGTCAACCAGGAGGGGAAATCACAAGAGGAGGAGCCCAAGGAATGTACCTTTAAAACGGGACGATTGCATTGTCTTTTAAGTCAAAGAGCAAAATGTTTATAAAGTATGACGCAAGGGTTTTATATATAAAATAAACAGAAGAATTACCTGGTGTACAGTTTGACAATAAATATTTGGCTTACACTACAACACCAGTTCAGCATCATGCATAGTCAATTTATTGTTTATTACACTAATCAATGCTTTGAATGTAATTATCTAAAATTGCGACAGCTCAAGTGAACGTTAAGACTTTACTATATTGTATTATAGTGTGCCTAAAAGCTTGACCATGTTGTTTACTAATGCATTATGACCTAATCTTGAGCCAAAGCGATACAGGTATAGGCCTCGGCTCAAATGTCTATGCACTTGACCAAAGTATTTGTCGTTAGCAGAAACATAAAATATAAACAAACGTTATCGTTAATCGAACAAACAAAAATCGTATTGAATAATAACGTAGTGTAAAATAATGCACAAAATAATAATGAAAATTAAACAACAGATTAAAAAAAACACACACACACAAACAAAATATAAATATACCTTTCACTATTTAAATCACGGGGTTTGCAAATAGGACTTATCATAGATATATAATTGAAACAAAGATACAATGCAAATAGATAGAGATAGATCTAGGCATACGAATAATTTTTTTTGGGGGGGGGGGGGGTGAATGAAGGTTAAAAATCTCACAAATTTCGGCCATAATTTCAGTTGTAATTGCAATTTTTCAGCCAATGCCCTTTTTATTTTATTTAGTTGTCAACTAATTTAATTATTTCTGTAAACAATTTTTGTATTTTTCTTAAAATTAACCTCACTGCAATGTACACTCATCTCAGAGGGACCGATATATCGGTACAAAGAAGAGTATTTTCCAAAACCTCGGTGCTAACAGCTTTAGGAATGAAGGACAGTGGTCTAGACATTTTCGTAGGGGATTAGAAATGGAACCCCCCAAGAAGCAACACCTCCTTGACTAACATAGTCGACTTACCCAATGAACACAGCCTCCCATCTCCCACTCCTTCTGCAGGTACTACACATTAAATGCTACTGATCAGACAAAGTCTTTGATACCTACAAGACAGATACTCGTTAAAGTTTGAGGGTAGTGCGTCACGTTGATAGTTATAAGTAGTGGAGTAGATTTGAAGTTGGTTAAGTTCTCTTTGACTCTTGGTAAGTAAGTTTACATGGTTATATTTTACGTTTAGTTGTATGTATATCTTTGTTTGTACATGCGAAGCGGAAAGTGACATGAATGTAATACAGTAATGCTAGTAAATCAATAAATAATATAGCTATTTATGTCATAAAATATCTGCGTATTCAGCAATAAAGCGGGAAACGTTTGAAACATTTAAAATTCAATATTCAGTTCCGCATCTTTTTCTGTTTGAAATATTATTGTTAGTAGACCTACTTACAAAACTAAAACTAGAACATTGTTGTTGGTAGGTTGACTATCGTTAAGTGGTGTAGTTTTTAATGTTAAATTCTTTGCAGTTGTTGGGGGGGGGTAATAAATAGCTATTTTTACTTTAAATAAAGTGTTGCCTTACACGAAGAGTATAAAAACATTTTTTTTGTTGTTTAATTTTCAAAAAATCTTAAATTAAATTTTCTTGTAGACCTACACTTTAGGTCTTAAAAAACGGGGGATCATTTTGCTAGACACAAAGGGTAAGTATCAAAACAGTAATGTCGAAAGTTAAACAGAATGAGGGTATTTCCGCCCCTCTATCATCTCGATTAGTTTGTAAGCTTCCAGTGACCTGATTGTGACCTGAGAGACCTATGTTCTTTGATACCATGACGGCCCTGTTTTGGTATTTAACCGTCCCCTTGGGCTCGGAGTTCTACGATCCCCTTGTGTTTGAAACCGGAAGTAAGACCTGGTAGTGCGCAGATATGATGCTGGCGTAAAAGGGCGGGGTGCTCGCGTGAAAGGTGCACGGGTGATGGGGCGGGGTGCACGGGTGATGGGGCGGGGTGAACGAGTGATGGGGAAGTAAGATCGTTGCTCCCAGGTGCGAACTGAGTTAGCGGCGTAGAGGCAAACCAACTGTCGACTGTCGCTGCAGAACTTGGCTTCGCAGGCCATGGCATCTGTGTCATCCCTCATCAGCTGGGGACACAAGATTGCATTGGTCTATACATGTCTAGGCAACAAATTTGTAGGCAGAAAATGTTTGTCAAATAAGTAGTGTAGATTTCATACATGGTGGCAACTTTATAATAGCAAGCTTTTTGGTGAATCTGGTGTACAGAATACAGGTAGCAAAAAACTTAAACACTAAGACAAAATACATGATGTAATCTGTAATATAGTATCTAATAACAGCAATACAGCATACAGAACAAAAGTTGTTTGGACTGAGGAAAAAGTTGTGATAAGAAGATGGACTGAATGCTGCCTAGAGTTGTACAACTTTGAAATCTCAAGAGAATCAGAATTGCTAAAAGTATTTGCAGTACCCAACATTAAACAATTATCTTATTCTTGGCTCGGAAGTTGCAGCAGCGGCGAAAACTCCGAAAAAGAGAAAATCAGCCGGAGTTGACACGTTCCTGGTCAATTTCTACGGGGTGGAGGAGAAACCATGATAAACACACTTTTTAAGATTCGCAATACATCTGGCAGTCACGAGAATGGCCCTAGCCCTGGACCCAATCACTCATCATCACCTTCCAAAAAAAAAAGAAAGGCAATTTATAAGTTTATGAAAACTACCGCACCATCAGCATCATAAGCCAATGCAGCAAAGTCATGTTAAAAATTATTTAAACCAGCTAAAACCGATAGCAGACAAGATGATATCAGAAAAATAAACGGGTTTTAGACAAGATCGCAGCATAATAAATCCTGAACGTCAGGAAACTCTGCGAGATATACCTTCCCCCTCCTTGGTCTGACAGTAAGACCACTGTCATGGTGAGACTTACATTTTGATAATGATTACATGTTCCCTCGTCATTTTTTGTCCTGCAGCCGGAGGATGCTCGAATCTGTGAGAAGTCTAGGCCACGTTCTCTGGACCAGGTGGACACCACACTTGAAATACTTTCTCCCTGGACACGTGATATTTATGTAAACACAATTCAACATAAACTTTACGGTAGAAACAAATATCTCTTAAGTCAATGTTAACCACATAATGATCCTATCTAAACAAATATCTACCAGACATCTAAACAAACATCTACCTGACATCTAAACAAACATCTACCAGACATCAAAGTAAACATCTACCTGACATCTAAAATCTAAACAAACATCTACCTGACGTAAGCGATGAAAGTTCGTGTATGTCCCCCGAGGTCCTGGATAGTTGATGGTACAGTGTAAAATGTATTTGGCCCATTTTAAAAGATAACCAGAATCCCAGACCTGTTGATGTATCAAAAGAATTTTTGTATGTAAAAAGGACTGATACCTTACACTATATTATGAAGTTATTAGAATTTTAAAATCTTAGGGCATAGACTAAGACGGCATGGAGCGCACCAATCAATGATTTCTGCATCAGTGGGTCTTATCTGAGATCGAGGATAACTAGACTATAAGCATTAATCTGATCTGAAATATGAATCATTGATTTGAAATATGAAATACTGATCTGAAATATGAAATATGAAGTACTGGTCGGAAATATAAAATACTGATGTGAAATATGAAATACTGATGTGAAATACGAAATACTGATCTGAAATATGAAATACTGATCCAAAATACGAAATACTGATCTGAAATATGAAATACTGATCTGAAATATGAAATACTGATCTGAAATATGAAATAACTGATTTGAAATATAAAATACTGATCTGAAATATAAAATAATGATCTGAAATATGAAATACTGATCTAAAATATGAAATAATGATCCGAAATATGAAATACTGATCTGAAATATGAATTACTGATCTGAAATATGAAATACTGATCCGAAATATGAAATACTGATCTTAAATATGAAATAATGATCCGAAATATGAAATAACTGATTTGAAATATAAAATACTGATCTGAAATATGAAATACTGATCTGATATATGACCCAGAGATCTCAGAGGGTTAGGGTAAACAATGTTATATAAAATGAATGCATAGTTAACACAGGGGCGCCCTAGGGGGCTGTGACATCGCCATTGTGGTTCATTTTGTACACCAATGATTTTCAATCCGATAGTCTTTTTTGTTCCATCACAAAATTCGCTGATGATGCGGCTTGTCTTGCCCTGCTCTCAGAGAGTTCAGACGTAAATGAGTATTTCAGAGAAATAGAACAAACTCCATTTGAATGAGGGCTTGAGAGGCTTAAATCCTATCTTGTAAAAGCCCTGGACAGAAACCCTGCTCTTGTGCATGTCACCATACATGTCGAGAATTTAGGTAACAATGAATGTTAAATTTACTGTAATTACCAAATAAATTACTACTTTCTTTAACCTCCCAACCATCGACTTAGTCTACAGAACCAAACCCCACATAGTCTACAGAACCAAACCCCACATAGTCTACAGAACCAAACCCCACATAGTCTACAGAACCAAACCCCACATAGTCTACAGAACCAAACCCCACATAGTCTACAGAACCAAACCCCACATAGTCTACAGAACCAAACCCCACATAGTCTACAGAACCAAACCCCACATAGTCTACAGAACCAAACCCCACATAGTCTACAGAACCAAACCCCACATAGTCTACAGAACCAAACCCCACATAGTCTACAGAACCAAACCCCACATAGTCTACAGAACCAAACCCCACATAGTCTACAGAACCAAACCCCACATAGTCTACAGAACCAAACCCCACATAGTCTACCTACCAAACCCCACAGAGTCTACCTACCAACTCCTCCAGACCTCCAGATCTTCGCAAAGCATTGTGAGCATTGGTCAATGTCCAAATCTCAGAAGAGTCCAATTCTGTAGCAAGAAAAACATAAAAATATATTTAAAAAAAAAAACAAAGCTTATATTAGATGTAATTGCAATCAATCAGTTTGGATCAGTCATGTTATTCCTGGCGTATTAGATCTAGACTAACAATAACCATATCTGTCATAAATAAAAAAAAAGAAATATAAAATCCTTAATTAATATACATGCTTAGGTGTTTTACATAACAGATATAGATAGATAGATACATAGATACATAGATAGATACATAGATAGATAGATATATAGATACATAGATATATAGATACATAGATATATAGATACATAGATATATAGATACATAGATATATAGATAGATAGATACAGTGGCCTCACTTGGGTCGGTGTCATCCGATTGCTCAGTATGTCACCCCGCCCCCAATCAACTTTCTCAAAACATTTCCCAATAAGAAAAATCGTTAGTTTGTTCTTAGCTGAAGCAATACAGTGATCTGAAGACCTACTTTCATTTATTCTTACACAAATGTAGAATGAGTGTTAATTCTATTATAAAATTCCATTGTGTATGATATCTATTCAATAGATATTGCAAGTTTATTGAAATTAGAAACAGACTTAACATCGCATGAACATGTTTCTTTTGTCTTTTAGACGGAAACAGTATAACATAATGCTGTGTTTTTCAAACTTGTATTAGTATCTAGACCAGAAGGAACTTTCTGGAGATAGTATACGAGAGGCATCAGGTCCCCTCAGCATCCAGCAAGGTAGTCTGGGGAAGCACTGTTAACTCCTCATCCAGCAAGGTAGTCTGGGGAAGCACTGTTAACTCCTCATCCAGCAAGGTAGTCTGGGGAAGCATTGTTAACTCCTCATCAGGCAAGGTAGTCTGGGGAAGCACTGTTAACTCCTCATCCAGCAAGGTAGTCTGGGGAAGCATTGTTAACTCCTCATCAGGCAAGGTAGTCTGGGGAAGCACCGTTAACTCCTCATCCAGCAAGGTAGTCTGGGGAAACACCGTTAACTCCTCATCAGGCAAGGTAGTCTGGGGAAGCACCGTTAACTCCTCATCCAGCAAGGTAGTCTGGGGAAACACCGTTAACTCCTCATCCAGCAAAGTAGTCTGGGGAAACACCGTTAACTCCTCATCCAGCAAGGTAGTCTGGGGAAACACTGTTAACTCCTCATCCAGCAAGGTAGTCTGGGGAAACACTGTTAACTCCTCATCCAGCAAGGTAGTCTGGGGAAGCACTGTTAGCTCCTCATCCAGCAAAGTAGTCTGGGGAAGCACCGTTAACTCGTCATCCAGCAAGGTAGTCCTGAGCTTTATCAATTCTTTCTCTTCTGATATATTATGTATGTATGTGTGTGTACGTGTGCGTCTGTGTATGTATCACAATAGTAGTTTAACCCTAATTGTATCAGAGAAGCATTGACATAATATCTGAACCTCTAAAAGGTCACATTCCCAAATAGCTTAGGGATTTATTCAGTTTTAATCCAGTTCTGATCACAACTTGTGTCATTTGCAGGGGAAAGATCTACCACACCTCTGAAGATCATTGATAATAGTTGAAAGCATTTCTGATGCCTTACCCTTACCTCAAGAGAGTCAGGGGAGACGACCCTTACAATAACTCTCTTCGCAAAACATATTATGTATGATTCCCCTTGAAAATGTTAATTGTTTCCAATTCCCCAGTTTATGAAAAGAGATCTATGAAAGAAAAAAAACAACTTACCATCACTAAGATCATAGACTGGGTTACGTACTAAAGGTAGACCTTGAGGCCTTTTATCTGAAATGAATGAAAAGAACTTTTAAATACAATATAAAGAAACCCTGCTGGATATAAAGTAAAACAAAGAATGTTTGGTCAGCATGGCTATAAACAAAGATAGAGGACAAAACAAAGAAACTGACCATAAACAAGCGGGAAATCTAAAAGACAATGCAGGACTAGTGTGGACAACATTAAGTGTGCAGGGATAAAAAAGAGATGTTTGTGTTTGTCCTCATTTAAAAGACGATGTTTTGATTGGTAGTTTTCTTATAAAACACAGAAGTTCCTTCAAAACAGAAGATAATTATGTT